AATAATTTATATTTTTAAGCTATAAAAAACAAAACTTTCTTGTTGCTGTACGAAATATTAGTGTTCTATGTTATAAGTCCATCGACTAAGGCATAAAAATGTTTATTAATAATTTGTATTGTGTTTACCTTTAGGAATAAGAATTTTGATTCTGTTTTATTTTAGTTAATATTTTTAAAATTGATTTTAAGACAAATTTAGCTAAAACGGATGCATGTTTCGAACTCTGATAGAGTAGCATTTTTTTTATTAAGATTTCTAAATTCTTGGTCTTAGATATACAGATCTCTCCTTTGCCCTAGATATCAGATATATCTATATACCTACATATATTGTAATTACAAATATCTATATTTCCAAGATTTATCTGCATAGCCAGAATTTTATTGCATATCTGTATCTGATGTCTATCTATAAGTGCAGACTGTAGCTGTATTTCTAAGATTGATGTGTATATAGGATATATAGGATCTGTCTATCTGATATCTATCTTTTAGGGGCAGGATGTCCTACTGTATGTATGTATTCAGGATGCATCTGTATATCTGCTATGTATCTATATATCTGGCATCTATCTGAATATTCGGAGAGTATCTGAACATATAATCTGTATATCTGACATCTATCTATCTTTATAACCAAACACATGTATCGACTCTCTTAATACCATGTTTTTGATAAGCTAAAGTTATAACTCATAATATATCTATTTATATCAACGATTCCAATTCGATCTTTAAATTGTATGGTAATCTCTATAAAACAATCTCTATAGACCATAGATTCTATTCTAATCTAATTTCAACCCGAGACAGTATTAAATTTCGATAGACCTGGAATATGCTTAAAGAAATTCCCACTTTATACCAATCCCAACTGGAATTTCCCATATCATCTTTATACACAACAGTTATATATCTTTAAGAATGTCCGATTTATTCCAATTTAGTCTGCAATTTACAATAGGATTTGAATACCGAACAATTATGTCAATAAGAATTAGCTTTGTTTTCTAATGCAATCTAGAATTATATATATTATATATTCCAGACCTGTCCTCCATTTCAATATTTCCTAGCTAGTTATGCATTCATTAAAACATATCCGTTTCCATATTATATATCATTTGTATTTGTTTAGTTTATGGACTCCGCTCAGACGTGGAAACAAATCTTGACAACTTTTCGCTTAATTAATTAGTGAAGAGGGATTTCTGTTTGCTTCTTCTTGCTCGATTAACTTAAGGCTTTGCATAAATATACAATTGCAAAAATACAAAATTTCAGATACTGGAAATATACAAGAAGTTAAATGCTTATATAAATAAAAACAAAGACGTTGACAACAAACAAGACAATAAAAGAAACTAACGGATTGCTATAGACTTCATAAATCCAACAACAATCGGGAATAATACCGAGCCCAGCTTCGGTCCGGCCCAGCCTCAATACACCCAGATGTGCTCGAGTATGCCGTTATCCAGCTGACCAGAGGGCAGAGCCTTGAGCGTTCGCAATGTCTCCATGTAGAAGGTCAGCTCGGAGGTGACCACGCCGTGCTGCGGCCCGCCATTATTGCAGATATTCAACTTGAGCAGCTGCTCCCGCAGCTTGTCCTTGAAATTGCGATGCACCACATCGTAGATTTCATGGATTTGCGTCTCGGGCAGAACGCCGGCGATCGCCTCGTGCAGCTTAACCAAATGCCTCGAGATGTGGCGAAACGTTTGCGACGGAATCGGCGGACGTGCATCCCATGCCTCCAGCTGTGCCGTGATGCGCTCCGATACGATGCCATGGATCTTGTGCTCGATCTCCTTGATGTGGCCCTGGTAGTCGCGTTCGATCGCCTCATAGCCGCTCATGCTCTCGAAATGCTCCCGCAGCCGCGGCAGCAGGTACAGCACCAGCTGCAGAGCTCGCGACACCAAGGCCAGATTCGTGCTCGTTATGGTCTTCAGTCCGGCCACACGCATCGCCCCAGCGCCAATGATCAGCTGGCAGCTGCGTGAATTGAAGCAGCGCAGCAGATCGATCACATTGCGCGCATGATAGCTGGCGAGCAGCGGCAGGCGATGAGCACTGCCGCCATATTCGTACAGCATCTGGATGAGCAGCAGAGCGACGCTGACCAGGGCGAAGGGCTGTTTGGCCTCGACCAGCAGCACTGGATTGCCGCCAATGCCGATGCCCATGAGGCTGCCGTCGAGCGGCGCCTGCTTGGAGTAGTCGCCCGCCGACATGCGTTCAATGATACGCTGGAACTCATGTGGTATGTCCACCTGACGCCAGCGTTCCTGATCCAACAATAAGGCCAACTTTTGTTTGCGCTCCGTGTGGAAGCGTTGTGCGTATCGGGACGCCTGCACCTTGAGCGCCAGCTGCAGCGGCACGCTGGGCGCATTGCAAATGCTAAGCGTCGCCTCGCTGAACTCCTGCACCACTTGGGACAGCTGAAGCAGCTCCTGCTCCGTGGCCGCACAGCGCTCCAGGCTCTGTGGCGACACAATGTTGGCGCAGCGCTCGTGACAATAGTGACACACAGCCTGGAGCAGCTGCTGCAGCTGTGCGCTCAGCTGCTCGTGATGCGCGGCGCTGAGGAAGGCCTCCGAGTCGATTAGATTGACGGCATGCTCGTGCGGATTGACGCCACCGGCGGCAGCGTCGGTTGTCTGCTGCATTATGGACACGACAGCCTTGATGCGCTCCAGGACAGCGATCAGAGCGTGACTGGCGCGCTGCAGCATGGCCAGCCATTCGGGCAACGTCAGATCCAGCGCTTGCTCGCCAGCTCCAGTCAAGCAGAGTTCATGATCGCCACGCGACAGCAGCTCGATGAGCAATTGCTTAATGATGGCGCGTATCGTGGCGATCGCCTCCTGCTGATAGCTCTGAACGAACGTGAAGTTCTGCTTGCGCAGCAGACCCATCACAATGGCCACCAACTTGTCCTCCTCGGCACAGACGCTGTCCGATTCCAGGTCGGCATCGGAGAGCGGACGATTTAGGTCGGTGGCTGCATAACGCTCGAATTCGGTGGTCAGCATCTTGTCGATTAGCTTCTCCATTTCACCCAGCTGCATGGGCAAGTGCTTGAAGCAGTGCACGCCCAGCAGCTCGGCGGATAGGATCTCCTGCGTGGTGCTAATCAAATCCAATGCAGCCACATAGTCCTGTGTGCCCAGCAGCAGCTGCAGCATGGGCTGTGTCTTGTGCACGGTGGCCATCAGGCGCAGCTTGTCCAAGGTGGTTTGATAGTGCTGCCTGCGCTGGGCGTAGCGCATCACCCGAAAGCTGTCGGTGACAGCGCTGCCATGCAGCTGGGCCAGCGCAGCGCGCAGCTGACGCACTTGCTCCGCTGCCTGTTGCATCTCGGCGAGGATCGCATGCTGCGTTGTCATGGCGTGAAAGAAGGCCGCCGACTTTTGTGCCACCTGCTGGGCTATGCGCACCTCCACAATGTCCAGATAGTGTGAGAGCTGCTCCTGCAGCTGCCGGCCCATTTGCTGGCGCTCCGCTGTGCCGCTAACAGCATCTTTATCGCTTTGCATATAGTTGGGAAAGACTTGGGCAAAGGTGGAGGCGTGATGCAATTGCAGTTGCGATTTCAGAAATATCTCAGGCACGGGCACAGCGCCCAAACGCTCAGGCGTCGTCGTAGTGGTGGAAGTCAATTGTTGCTGTTGCTGCTGCTGTTGTTGGCGACGCTCGTGCCAGCGATAACGTTTGCCAATGCTGCCCAAATAGACGGCAAAGTCCGCATGCGTTATGTCCGGCAGTCGCGGATTGCCCGGTATTTGGACGCGCTCCACAAAATGTTCGCCCCACTTCTTGGTAAACAAATTGCTCTGCTTGCCGCGCTGCGGATCGTTCAGCACGGCCGGCAGATTCTGTGCCGCCGAATACACGCCCCATTCGGGTGGCAATTCGCGCGTCTGCTGATTCACGTGATATTTGGCCACATGTGCATCATAGTCGCGATCGGAAACGCCATCTAGTGGAAGTGAAGCGCAGACGCCATTGAAGCCATAGCGGCAGACATAGGAACCGCCTTCCCGCGTGCAGTGACGACTCCGCAAATGGCTGTGGATGAATCGAGTTCGGGTTAGTATACGAGGACGGCCATATAGCTGCTAACTCACTTGACAAACTCTGCTACGCTCTTGAAGTGCTCTCGCGTGCAGTAGTAGCAGTTCTGCCAGCTGGGCGCATTTACGTTATTCAAATTGAAATTCGAATTCGATGCTACAGAATGTTTTCGTTCAACATGTTCGGCCGCAGCTGCTGCTGCTGCTGCTGTTGTTGTTGCTGTTGTTGGCGTTGCCGCTGTTGTTGCCGCTGTTGTTGTATTGTACTGAGCTGTGGCCATAACACATGCTTATACCTGCTTGGACCCAATTTAAATGTTTTCTATATTTATATACATATGTATATATATGTAGTTGTATTCTCTTATTTTTTCCTTTTTATTGCCGAAATCTCGCCGCAAACGTTGACGTGTTATGTCAATATTTGTTTTTGTCTCTCGGTTCCTCCAATGGGCTGTTTACGTTGCATTTTGTTGCGTTGCCATTAATTGCGGTTATAAGTTATATTTAAAAGCTGCAACCAGCATAGTTTCTATAGTTGCAAAGATTTTTGTTGTTGAATTAGTTTAGCTTGAAATGTATAATGGAATAATATTATGATGACGTGATCCAGTGTTGTGCAGCGTTTTCGTTGCGGTTGACAGCCGTGCACGTTCGAGCGCGTATGATGGCACAGAATGCATGACGTGTTTGAGTAAACCGAAATATACTTTCGTTATTGTGTTGCATACATGATATTTTATTAATTAAAATGCAGTTTAGTTCTCACAAAATATGTGTTTATTAAAGAACTAGTGGCTTAGCATTAAGCATTTATTTTTAAGTCAGCCTTTATTTTTATGTGAATGTGTACATCAAACATGTCGTAACGTGCCTTGCTTGCCACGTAGCCCACATCGTTTCACAACACTGCACAAAACAGCTGGCATGTTGTGTCAATGGCATAAACCGAAAAATAAATACAAGACAATAATAATAGCGGTTTCTTTAGTACTTAATATTAAACTGAATTTAATGTAAGCACAGTTAGCTCTGCTTATAGTGCCAATGTGCACATCGAACAAATCGTAACGTATTGCCACTGCCTTTAAGTGTTTTGCAGCACTGAACGAAACAGTTATATTAAGACGGAGTTGCAGCAAAAATTTTGGCAGTTTGTTACGCGCGCGTTCTTTAAACTGTGGCATCGAGCCAAAGCACACGTCCAACAGAAATAAGATAAATGAATAATGCGACTGTGGCGCAAACGACGGCTACTCATCTTAATCATCTGCTGCATCTGGCTGTGCAGCGTTGCTCTCATCTATTTGCTTATTGTCACCCGAGAGGACAATATAAGAGATGGCGAGCACCAGCTGCTATGGTGGACCAATGATATGACCTGGTCGTACGATGAGCTGCGTCACTGCGCTGGGGAGACATGCCGAGTTACGAACAATCGCCAGCGACTGGAGGAAGCGAGAGTAAGCAGGAGACAGAGGAGAAGGGGCCGACGTGCATCCGGCTTATTGCTGATAAAAAAATTTAAATGCTATTTTTTGCTTTACAGAGCATACTCTTCTATGGGTCCAATTTGAAGACTTTTGACTTTCCACTGCCGCGTCGGGGGCGTCAAATATGGGGTCTGCTACACGAGGAGTCGCCACGCAATGTGCCCTTCGCGCCATACACCGAGTTTCTGCAGCATTTCAACTACACATCCACATTTAGTAGGCACAGCAATTTGCCATTAACTACCCAGTATCTGCCGTATGCCAGCGATTTGGGCATGCTGGACTTCTATCGTTCGTTCGAGGATAAAGATGTTGTTCAGTTTAACGAAGAAATCAGTACCGTGGTGTTCCTGCAAACCGATTGCAACACGATGTCGGGACGAGAGGACTATGTACAGGAGCTAATGAAGCACATTCGGGTGGACTCATATGGCGGCTGTTTACGCAATATCGATCTGCCCGCAAGGTGAGCGAAGAAACTTCCTTTAATACCTACTATATATTCACTATGTTGCAGTCTACAACGTGACTATTTGAACAACTTGTATTCGGATGAATTGTTGCGCTTTCTAGCTCGTTATAAATTTATGATTGCCATTGAGAATGGCGTCTGCGAGGATTATATCACGGAGAAATATTGGCGTCCCCTCATGGCTGGCATTATACCCATTTACTTTGGCTCACCCAGCATACGCGTATGTCAGAATACCCTACGAAACTATCTGTTAATATATACCCTATATTTTAGGACTGGGAACCGCACAAAAACTCGGCTATCTATATAGATGATTTCCCGAATGCTTCCTCGCTGGCATCTCATTTAGTCCATGTGGGACAGAATAAAACAGCTTACAATTCGTATCTTAGTCATAAGCTGAATCGGCGCCAACCCATAGCTAATCCCAAGCTCTTGCACGAACTGCTAACACGCAAATACCAAGTTAACCGTGGAAATCAGAAAGAAGAGCTATCGCTGTTTCAAAAATTCGAGTGCTTTATGTGCCGACGTACCGCTTGGACACGGACACCGCGCACAGCTAATAGGAATCACTACAGCTGTCCATTACCTCCGGCTTATGCGCCACTTGGGCGGCAGAAGGAGCCCAAATTTGGCAGCGATTGGCGCTCGATGATGAATGTGGGACGCTGTCAGGCACAGCTTCTGGATTCATTATTTCGCGCAAATCGCAGCTACACAGAGAGCGAGTTCGAACGCAGACTCAAACAGATGGTGCTACAAGACTTGTGCAATTAACTAACAACTCAACTACCTTAAATTCAATAATTTCATAAGCACTATGTACTACATAGTAGTTATTATGTATATGTAACTGACTCGCATCTAATGCTTGATATATATATTTACATGAGCAACTTAAGACAGTATGCAATTCCTAGCTTAACTTTAGCTGTGAATACTGCCAATACCAAAATTGTAAAGAATAATTCATTTTAGCCATCTGTGGCTTTGAATACGCGTGCCTTAGTGATATACACACATGACAACTGTAATACCAAAATACACTTAAAATTAGCTTTATAAATCATCTATATATCTGTCTGATCAACTTGATTATCATAAACAATTGCTACATTCCATGTATGTGTAAGCATAAATATATTATATATTATATAAATATATTATATATTATATATATATATATATATATTAAATATATATTTTTTTAAACTTATTTTATGCATTATATAATTTAATATTTGAGCATTATCTTATGTGAGTTTCCATATATATTTAATTGATATACTTTTGTTTATAATGACTTAAATGATAACTTAAATGCATATGAATATTCTCCTGTGCTTAACTACGTTAAGTGGCTTTATATATTCGTAGATTTGTGTTTTTATACGTAATATATAATTCGAAGCGATTACTGCTGCCCACAGTGTGTATGGAATTCTAGAGAAAATCTTGTATAAATATATATATATAGAATTTACTGTTCTATTAATCAATATAAATATCTGCTTGATTATTGAATCTTATTTAGCTATATGCCCTTTACTAAGTGTTCCCTAATTCTAATGAGTAATCTTTAGCCTAAGTTCTGTGATGTTACAGCCATGATGATGCCTTCACTCTCTGTTCTGCCCCCTAAATGACAGCTGAAAGTCTGGAATCATCGTGCACAAATCGAATTTTATTACACAGTTATTTCATCTTTATTCTCTGATCTCACAGCTTGCTTTACATTTGCCAATACATTTGTGGATTCACCTCCTTCAGCTGGCCCATGCTCACGATCCACATGCTGCCAATTTTCATCATTTCGATGGCTTTCATCATTTGGCTGGCAGCCTGCTCGGGCGTCTGATGCTTGGCGCTCTCGATGGCCTCCACCATGGACTCGGCATGGCTCCATGTAACATTGTCGCGCAGATTCATCATCATCTCGGTGTTGGTCAGGCCGGGGCACATGGCCATAAACATGACTCCAGTCTTCTGATAGATACGCTTGTCGCCCATCGAACGTGTGAAGCCAATGACGCCGTGCTTGGCCGCCGCATAGACAGCAAAGGCGGGTGCTGGCTCCAGGCCATAGACCGAGGACATGTTCACCACCATTCCGCCGGCGCCCATCTGCGTCTTGTCCATGTAGGGCATGGCCTTCATTGTCATGTGTATCATGCCCATCTATACGGAGAGAGAGGGAGAGGCTACGATGAGTCTGTGTGCCTAGTTGGCTCTCGAGTAGCTTACCAAATTGACGCCCATGGTCGTCTCCACGTCCTTGTCGAGCAGCACATCCTCACAGTTGATCAGCACATCGATGTTGCCCATCGTTTGGCCCATGTTCTTCATGGCCTGCTCTATGGATGACTTGTCCATTAGATTCACCTGCATGAATACGACTTTGACGCTGGGATTTTCCGACTGCAGCTTCTTCATCATCTCCACATTCTCCATGCGATGCATTATGCCGAGCATCTTCAACTTAAGCTGCCGCTGCATCAGCTGATGCATCAGCTGGAATCCAATGCCCGTGAAGCCGCCGGCGTAAACCACATTCTTGCCCGACCAGTCGTACATCTTGTCTGCTTGTTATGCACTTAGCCGATCCGGCGACGTCTTTTATAGGCAGCTCATCGGCTATATCTCGAGTGCAATGACGATTAACCTGCATGGGGTGCTCGGTCAGGGGTCAGCTGCATTGGTCTTGCGACCAGATGTTTGCTTTTCGACAACGCCTCCGATAAGCACTTGCAAGGTTTGTTGACTTTTTCCGTTGATTTTTCTTATCAAAGGCCGCAGGAGAAGGTTTTCGATTTAATTAGCTTTTGCGCAGCTTTCAAATCTTGGTTCTATTATTTTCTAACTAATTTTTTGTTAGATTATGTAAGTTGAAGACAGTTTGCATCATTAGGTTTATAACTATATATATATATATGTATATATATTATAGTTCATAATGATTCCAGCTTAACAATTAGTTAATCTAATTTTAGGATTCGAACTAAAAATATTTTTTTTTGCATGCAAAATTTAAAATTTTTCGTTTACCCTTATCTAGTTAACACAAAATTGAAGTAAAAACTGGAAAACTAATTTAAAGTATTTAGTATATGGATCTTTTTGGAAATTACTTATGAGTTAATAAAAGCTGGCATATAAAAATTCAATGAAGCTAGTTTGTAATAGATAAATGAAGGATTTTCATTAGATTGAGACAGATTTTTGATTAGATAAGTTTAAAGATTTTGTTAGAATGAAACTTTTCTAAGACTAATTAAAGATATAAATAAATATGCTATAATTTATAACTGTTTATATTAGCGTCATCGGTTTACTCTCACTAAATCTGTGAGCTTAGGCAAAACCAATTTTAGGCAAACTTTTGAGTGAGTAGAAGAGAGAGAGAGAGAGAGAGACAGCGCGGGATACATAAGAGAGAGAGAGAGAGAAAGAGAAAGAGAGAGAAAAAGAGAAAGACGAAGATAGAGACAGAGAGACAAAGAAAGAGCCATACAGAGTGAGTTTGGGAGAGAGAGAGAGAGAGAGAGAAAGATAAAGACGGAGAGAGAGAGAGAAAGAAAGAGCGAGATATCGAGACATAGAGACAGACGGAGCGACAGAAGGAGAAAAAAAGAGCCAGACAGAGTGAGTTAGAGTGAGTTTGAGAGAGAGAGAGACAGAGATAGAGACAGCCTTCGTCGTTAGCTTATTTTGTATTTAGTAATTTTTGAGCTGATACGAGGAGGTGAACAAGAAGCGAAAAGATTTATTAATCTGCTTTAGTAGATTTAACATGACAATTATATAATAACACTGTCTCCTTAATCATTCAAGATATGCTCAAATAAATTAAATTTTATTTTGATTTTAATCGATTTTAAAAATCGAAAATTTGATTTATTCTGCGCTCTCTAAAAAGCAGCAATGTGTTCTTAGCTTATTCTTATTCGAGGACCTAGTTCATATATAGGTTCAAATATATATAAATCATATATAAATGGAATTGGCCTCTGCCTGTTAAATATTCTTATATATATAATTATTATGCCTCAAGTTCCGTTTTAATGGGTATAAACAAAAAGTTGAATTGTTTATAATGCAGTCTGCTCAAATGGCCAGACAGATAGGCAGATCATGAATATATGCACGCTGCTGATTGTAGAATATATATACTTTGTGAGATCAGACAAACCTACTTCTGATATAGATTCCTCCTTCTGTTACACATTCAATTCAATTTTGCTCTGAGTTACAGATTACCTAGCTAGCTGATAGAACAGACATGCGGACAGATGTTGGGAATATATATATTTTAGGGTACTCTACCTGGCTTACTTCTCTCTTTATATACAAAGGCAAGTCCAAATATTAAAAGTATAAAAACTTCACTTCAGCCAGCACAAAGGCTTCGCTTAAATTAAATAAAATAATTTTAATAATTTATTTACAAAATGCTGAACATTTTCGTACTTTTGCTTAAGAGCTAATGAAATGTTTTAGACAATCACAGATGTGATTTGGAGTCACATTAAAATCAAGATTTCATTCTGCCTTGACTTAAGCTAAGGCCATGTCAGGTGAGTATTTCACTAGTTATCGGATCAAATAACAAATACTGGCTTGGAAAATACTCTTAGGTTATATGGATATGGGAAAATACTATATAGAACAGTTGTCTGATATAAATCTTAAAGTTCAGGCTGACAAAGCGTTTGGCTTGGCTATGAACTATAAAAAGTTTGATGAAATTTTAACATGTAGATAAAGTGAATGTTAAATTTGGAGAGGTCAAGTCTCAGGCTGTTCAGGGAGCTAGTCTAATGGAATCCATATTGAAATTGCGATTTGAAGTGACTTAAAGCCGAACCAGTGTCATGAGAGCATTGGATGCATGCACGGCTAGAGTTGGTGTAAGATGAGCGCGATTAGGGGCAGACCCGTTGCCAAGTGCCTAGCCGATATGTCCTTTGTGGGTGGCGCGCGCGTCGCCGGGCTGTCGGTCGTCTCGATTGTGGACGAGGTTTCATCACGAGCACCGGGCATATAGTCGCCGCAGGTGGGAAAATTGTGGGGCACCGGCACCATTTTGTCATCGTCACCCACTTTGAGCACCAAAGCCATGCCGATCTCCGCATGGAATTCAATGTGGCAATGGAAGAGCCAATAGCCGGGATTGTAGGCCTCGAAGCGTATGATCGTATAGCCACCATCTGGCACGGTGACGGTGTCCTTGACGGGCGGATTGATCAGGTTGCGCTTGAGCAGCTTGAACTGATCCAGTTGCTTGATCTGAAATGAAATGGTATCAAGTGAAGCTCAGTGATACTTGGAATTGTCATCACTTACCATTTCGATTGTCACATTCTCGCCCAGACGCTCCAGTCCAATGACGCGAAACGCATTGCCATGCAGATGAAACGGATGATTGGCATAGAAAGTGAAGCCCTCGTCGACAATGATCAGCTCAACGACCGCATTCATTCAGCGGCACCTGCAGCACATGATGGCATTTGCAGAACTGCTCACGACAATCGATGCCCTGCTGGGCGAGCGTTGTCTCGTTGCAGAAGAGCTCGTCGCTGAGCTGGTGTCGTTGCGGCAGCAGCGCCACCGATGGGAACTTCAGCGAAATGTGATTCAGCTGCGGCGTATACAACATATTCTCCCGGCTCACATTGGCATCCATGCCATAGTAGTCGCCGTTGTGGAACTCCGGATTATCTTTGCGATAGAAATCGTAATACACGAAGAATTTGTAATCAGCCTCCGGCTTCAGTGTGTCGTCATCGATGCCAGAGACCGTGTCGTATATGGGCAATGCTCGCATCTCAGCCACGGTCTTGGTATCCGCATAGCCGGGTCCACGGTTCATAACATTCAACTCAATGCCCGTGGCATTGTGGTCATAGCCCAGCTCGGCGCTTGGCTCCACTTCGGCGCGCCCTCATAACGTAGAATGGCCACCTGAAAGGCGGAGGTAAATCTCTCGCTGCAGTCCATCAGACCCTTCAGACGCAACCAATAGTTGCCCACCGCCTGATTGGCATTCAGCACAAAGTCGAAACGTTCGCCCGAATAGGTGACAATGGAGCCCACCTCCATGGCCTCAATGTCATAGCCATCCGAATTGATGGCAGTCAACAGGTGATTATCTACGGACACCAGAATCGGGCAGTTCAAGTACTCGGCGTTCACGATGCGAAAGCGATATCGAAAGCCGCGCTTCACATGGTACACCTGATGCGGTATCTGCTCCAATGGTATGTTCTGCACATTGCCGCGACGCTGCCGCGAATGTGCGGCCAGCGACTCGCTGCTGTTGCGCTGCTGCTGCAGTGCCTCGCTGGACAGCAGCTGGATTAGATTTGGTGGCGTTGCTGCTGGGGAGAGCATGAAAAGAAAGAAATATTATTTTTCATTAACAGTTTGAACTGCTGGAATAAATTTCTTGTGCACAAAAACGTAGAATGTGCTCAACATTGTGTTGCTTCTGCGCTTCTGAAAACTCATTTTTTTTTAAAACTTCACGAACATTTTTAGATTGTTTATGTCGCTTATCATCAACTTCAGTTGTACGTCTCACTAAATCTTTTTCCAAGCTTAAAACAAAATCTAATATTTCTGCTTGTGCCACGACACAAACACAACAAACTGTCAGTAGAAAGCGCGTAATTTTTAACGTCTCAATCGATTTACATGAAGTTGGCTGCGCTTGAGAGTTGCGACCTCTGCCTTTCTAGTGCTAGCAATGTTCAATAGATGGCGCTATGTGTTCCTTGATTTAAATAAAAAGTTATCTTATTTATTGAAAATACTGTGCAAGTGGAAGATCAAGGCTTATTCTGATGTCAAAGACAAGCGAAAAGATCGCAAAATATTTAAAACTCTATATATATATAGAGTAAGCTGATATTATGGCAGAATGAGTTAAAATTCATGGTAAGGCCATTTGGAGCTATGTAAGCAACGGCTTAGTTACATACCTAGATTCTCTGTATTATTCCTTGATAACTTCTCTGCTTCAATAGACGTTAAATTAAGGTCAGAAGCTAAAGGTGGAGCTGTAGCTGAAGCTGGAGCTTTAGCTGAAGCTGAAGCTCGAGCTGGAGCTGGAGCTGGAGCTGAAGCTGTAGCTGAAGCTGTAGCTGTAGCTGAAGCTCGAGCTGAAGCTGGAGCTGAAGCTGGAGCTGGAGCTGGAGCTGGAGCTGGAGCTGGAGCTGGAGCTGAAGCTGTAGCTGCGTCTCTACCCTTAGCTGCACCTCTGCCTATAGCTTTGCCTGCAGCCGCCGCTGTCACCTTTGCTGACGCCTCTGTTGGCGCCGCCTCGGCGGCCATGCGATGCTGCCGCTTCATGTCCGCCCAGATGCGATTGTAGTACCGGCCACGCCCATTGATGAGTATATTGTGTGGCTTATTATCGCCGCTGGAGTGATGATGAAAGGCAAAGATGCTGGCGCCCGGCTCGTGTATCCAATCCTGCACGACCAGCACATGTTCGCTGAGATCAAAGTCGTAGAGGCCGCCATGCGGTTCCGCATGCTTGGGCCGGCGTATAATCAGTGGCCCGAAGACACCGTCGCCACGCTGCATGCCCGTGTGCGAGTGCCAGAAATGCGTGCCGGCATTATCAGCCGGAAAGCTGTAGCGAAAGGTGGCATGCGGCGAAATCGGACACTGAGTGATATGCGGCACACCGTCCATGTAGGGCGTCTGCTTCTGGTGCAGGCCATGCCAGTGGATGGTGGTGCTCTCGCCCAGCAAATTGTTCTTGACGTCGACCACAATCTGATC